ACAATTATAAACAATTAGGAAGGTACCAGACTGTATTTGTTTTTCTTTTATCTATATGTTATTACTTATTAGAGGAAAATATTTATATAACTAATATCTGCATTTGAATAAATGAATAAACAGAAATAGATGTGTTGTAAAATATATCGAACCTATAAATTACATTATTTAGTATAAAGATAGAGAAACTAATCCGAACCTGGAAACTGTTTAAAAAAACAAAGCAAAGCATACTCTATCAGAGATAAAAAAAATTAAGAAGTTTTTCACTCAGATGAAAAGGATCTTTTTGGTTGCACCTGAGCTCGATGCTCTGGTCGCAATCATTAAAGCTGATAGGAAACAAAATTATTAAAACAAAACTGAAGATATAGCATTTTTATTGGATCAATTAGGAGATAGAAAAACTAGAATAGTTGAAATCGATACAAGGTATCTTTACTCTGGAAACAGGATCTAATTTAAATGAAAGTCAAAATTGTATGAAACCATGTCAGAGAGTGAATTCAGCTTAAATGGATCGGAGAAAGACGAAGATAAAAATGATTTTCCATACCCAAATCCAGAGTTAAAGAAAAAGGTCAAAAAAGCTAATACTGTTATGCTTCCAAAAGATATTCTTAAGAGAATTGCTGATACTGCTGATACTGGTGTTGGGGAAGGAATAAGTCATAGGCAGCATGTTTCCATGGTTAAAAGTATTATTGTTAAATCGGGTGCAAATATAGCTGAATTTAAATATTCAACCTCTACAGCATAACGCGCTGCAGATGAGGTCAATCATGAATCAAAAAGGATCAAAAATGATTTAAGAAGTATAAAAAAAATCAATAAGAACATTTTATTTCAACTGTATTTTAATGGAAAAGTATTTCATGAATATACTGATAGAAAAAAATTAGAACAAGATCGATAAGCAATATTAACAAACTGTAACAAAGTAACGCACCTGTTGGGAATCTTACCAATTTTTTCTGGAACGGGCGAGAATCAAAAAAATGCAATCAGAAAAATCTTAAATAGCTTTAACTTTACAGACAATCTGTTACATTTGACACGACCAGAATCAACATAGGAAACAAAGATAGAGCTCTATCTTTACTGGTAAATGAAGTATTTCAACGACTAGGTCTATTTATTGCATTTCGACTTCATTTAAATGAGCATACCCATACACATAATACATAACACATTTCTAGAAAAATTATCGAAGTAGCATTTCTTCTGGACCAGATAACCTGCTGTTTAAAATTTTAAAATCAGCATGGAATGATCTTGACGCAGACAACCAGGTAGGTTTTTACAAAATTAGCTACCATTTTGTGTAATATTATTTTTTCCAAATAGTTTTCTTTTTTTAATTTTGAGTTCTTTGAAATTATTTTTTTTTACATTTTGAATAAATAAGGTTTTAATGAGATTGACTATTTCAGAGAAATCATGGCTCGGTCATCAAAAGCATGAAAGCATAAATTTCTGCAGAAATATTATCACCAGAGGGTTTCTAAAAAAGGTAGCCCAATAACTTGATATCTGAAATTTTAATTATTTATGTAGTATGTACTATTATGTAGAAACTTATTATAAATTTTTCTTTTTAAGTTCTATTATTCTTAATTATACTAAAATAAAAGTAGGTTTATTGTGTTATACCTAAATACTTATGATTTGATTTCGTTTTTAGGATGGGGCTCCAAGGAAGGACTACATTGAGCTAGCAGAGCTTACCCATATGGTGCTTTCTGAGGACAAATACAAGTTTCGTACTCCCGGAGCAGTCTCCGATGCCCGCTTTATGGCAAAAGGTAAGGAATTGTAGGTTCATGTTAAGAAAACGTTCAAAGTGTAGTTATACAAATTATATAAATTATAGCTTTATAGCAAAAAAAGGAATTTGTTTTACATTATCAAATATTAGTTTTTTTAAAAAATTAAAAAAAAAACTTTTTTTTTATAGTTATCTACGACTTAAAACTTCAACTTATGATGGATGCTATAAATAGTCTGGAAAAACGGCTGAAGCATGAAATTACTGAAGTGGCAATTTTTGTCTCTGTTTCCATATATATATATATATATATATATATATATATATATATATATATATATATATATATATATATATATATATATATATATATATATATATATATATATATATATATATATATATATATATATATATATATATATATATGTATATGTATATATATCTATATTTATATATATATATATATATATATATATATATATATATATATATATATATATATATATACTTTTTTTTTATCCAGGGTATGAGAGCACTTTGGCAAATAGGTTTAAGGAGTACAACCTGATTGGGGCAGAATCAGTCATTGAATCTATCAAATGCCACACATAGTGTCTGGACCCTTAACTTATTGTACTAGCCCTAACTGATGAAAAATGTAAAAAAAGAGGTGACATAGCTCAAAAACTATAAAGCTATGAATTTCATAGTACGGATGAATATCCGTTTGCCCGAATAAGTGCTAACATAGAGGTCCTCAATTCTTTTGAATTTAGAGGACCAAAGCCTCCTAAATTCGTGGCTATTGTTCTTTATGATAAGTCAAAGTAAAAGTGACTGTCAATGGATGTAATCCCCCCTCCTTCCCCAGAAAATCGGACTTGCAACCAGGCTTGTGGTGCCGACTGTTTTTTTTTACGGCTCGGATCCGGCTCTGGTCTGGTCTCAAAAGGCTAGAGGACAATTTGTACGTTTTTTTGCTGCTTTCAGGATAAACTCCTAAAAAATAATCAAATTAACAAACTTAATAATGTTTTAATAACTTAACTAAGCCAAACTATTGACTTTCAAGCTCATATAAAATCTTTTTTTGCTGTTGTTATTTTTGTGAAACTTTGTTGAAACACATTTGTTCATAATTTGTTTTATTTGAATTATTAATTATAAAATAAATAAATGTTTATTTCTATTTACATACCACTCTTAGCAAGAGATCATCTTTTTCTTTATATTCCTGATTTTTCAATTCCAAAAATTTATAAAATAGCATTGATGCAAACTGAAACTTCAACAGTATTATTATCTTGTGTCACTTTGATGTTATAAGAGAATAATTGGTCATGATGAAATCTTTTTTCTTCTTTTTATCGAGGTCTACTTCGTTTAACACCTAAAGTGCGAAAGTAAAAACTCCCTCTCTCCTTCTGTCGTATTCTGAAAACACAAATAATGCTTGCATTTACACAGAAAGCCCATCCCAGCCGGCACATCGACGTCGTTTCGACGTCGAAACGACGTCGAAAGTTTTATTTTAATTAAACATCGTGACGTCGAAACGACGTCGAAATTTTGTCGAAAAAGAAACAAATGCCGACGTCGAAACTAACGACGTCGTTTCGACGTAACACGAAAACGTTCATTTCGACTTTTTTTCGACGTAGCAAGAAACATTAATTTGACACGTATTTTGAGGAAAATCTGAGGAAAAAGCAAAATAACAAAAAGTATTCGTTAACATTGTTTCTTTTTAAATTACTGTTAGCAGCAAAGCTATACATAAAAATCAGCATAAAAAACCATCTCTGACAACGATTATTCTTCATCAGGAAACTTGCGAATAATTGATCCTTCACCATTGGATCGCCGAGGCGCATGTTTTAGTTGAAGCATGATTATTTGGCATATTTCAGCTGTAGTAAACTCTTTGTTCTTGAAAAGAACAACATCTAAGAAATAATTTTAAACATTTTTGGTAGAAAAAATATATGTTTCATCAAAGCTATTTTGACACACACGAGTGTATCACACATGTGTGTACATAATAAAAGAGCTATATTGACACAGACCATAATTTTTTAAAACAAAACTCAGATAAGCAGATATAAATTATGCCACAAATTTGTTTGTTAAATCACAATTATCTACAAGATACCTAACTATGGCCGACCAGATAAAGAAGTCCAAATAATAACAAAACTTAAAATAGTGTAAATGATTATACTAACAATAATTATGAGAAAAACTTATAGCTTACCAACTATTGCTCTGTAAATGTTAGAATTTGAGAATCCAATCTTTTCACCAGATCCATACATATTACCTAACGCTTGTGTAGCATTGGGTAAAAAACTGCAATAAAACAGATAAACCGAAAGCTTTATACATAATACTTATATATTTTAAGTTGAAAATTTAAAAACTCAGCATACCTTTGCAAAATGTTTTTAATGATTGTTTTAATCGACTTTCCACCGATTCGTGATAACTGTGTTTTCTAAAAAGAAAAAATTTTCTGTCTGCTAATTGTTACTTTCTGCTGTTGTTGTTATTTTTTAATTGTTACTTAACTGCTTGGAAGCAAACTAAGAAGACTGTTATGCCTAATTTTAAAGCTGATAAACTATGCAATAGACATGTTATAAAATTATTTTTAGAACTATAATTATTATTTCTATTTTGTAACTTATTGCATTGCATAGAACTTATACCGTAACCTAACACTTTTACATTTAACATAAATGTCTAATAATAAATGTACACCAATTTCAAATTAACTTTAAATTTTCAAACTTAGAAAATCAGTATTACTTACAAAAGATGTAAAATTTGCATCATTATCTAAATCACTATTTAGTTTACAAAGTTCTTCCATTGAAGTAATATGGGAAAATTTAAAGCTTTCATTAGTTGATGGCAACAGTATAGTCGTTGCAGAGTTGTTGCAACCACAAACCGTTATGTTTTCAAGTTTGATAGAAATTTCTGTTAACAGATTGATAACAGTTTTTTGAAATACTAAAAAAATATAAATAATATAAAAAAAAGATTATGTCTAAAATGCAATGATAACAACCAACATAATTAGCTATATTTAGGATAATGTTGTTCTAATGAAAGCATTAACTCAAGCTAATTTATATTCATCCATATTCCTAAAAGATTTTTAAAAAAAGGGTTGCCACATATACCTTGCCCTAGTCCTAAACAATTAAAACAGTATTAAACTTTCTCTCATTTGTTAGAGGATAGTTATAACCATGCCTACGCTTCACCACATGTTGTTTTGTTTGATTTAGTTTCCGTGCTAAAAGTAATGAATTGGAAAAATAAATCAAAATAGATATACAAAAATAATAATTGTAAATAATGAAAAAAAGTGGTAACAAGATCCAGAGAATTTAATTATTGATTAGTATAAACAGGCGATTTAAAAAATGAAAAAAAAATAAATGAGAAAAACAAAATAAAAAAAACAAAACATTAAAAAATATATATTATTAAAACAAGTAATTGATATAACAGCATGCTGATGACAATTATAATAGTAGATCTTTTAAATCAAATGTCATACAAGAGTAATCAGAAATGTCAAAAATTGAAAAATCTATGACAAAAGAAGTCCTTTTTTTTCTAAGGTAGTGTCTATACTTTGTATTACTTACAGGGTATTGCAATCTTCTTTGTGCTTTTGAAACCTGATGATTCTAATCTGTCACCACTGTGAATAGATGGTTTTGTTCTCAATTTTTGAACGCTGCAAGATTTAAATGCAGATAGTTGTGGTGTTGTGGTGTTGAAATCATTGATTGCAGAGACATAGCATTTGGAAATTTGGGTACAACAAATGAAAAAGATAGTTGGATAAACAACTTAAAAACAAGATAATAAAGTATGTACCAAAAAAGTTGAAAAATAAATATTTGTGACAGCTATTTATATAATTTAAGCTAACCCCTATTATTATAAATATACATTTTTTTAAAATATACTTTAATAACATCAAATTATTAAAAAGCATTAAGTTAAGTTTTCACATATACAACCCAGGAGGAAAAAAGTGCTTCAGAAGAATCGTTAATAGAAAGTTCTAATGAAGAAGTCACGGTTAATAAATGCTAATAAAACAATAAGTATGAGTGTATAAGTATTTATTGTAAGATGACTTTAAAAAAAAATTGAAAAAAAAAAAATAATATAACCCATTTTTGATGGTGAATACATTTTCTTGGACAAATTTGCTTAAGGTTTTAATAACATTTTCTGAAAATCTTTAATGATTAGAATTTTTATAGATTTATATATTATATAACCTAACCGTGACTTCTTCATTAGAACTTTCTATTAACGATTCTTCTGAAGCACTTTTTTCCTCCTGGGTTGTTACAAACTCATAGTCTTGACATGTTTGTTCATCTGAAAGTTGTTAAAAAAAAAAAAAAAATCAAAATTGTAAATTAAAAATCTAAAAACTTTAATTCAAAATTTACTAAGGATAAATTAAAAGTTAGTTATTTAAATTAGAATAAGTTAAATTATTAAAGTAATGAGGTTTTCTAGAATATGAAAAACCTCCTACACACTTTGTTGACAAATATTTATAATGTTTCCATTTCAAGACATCTGGTATATTTAGGAGCTGAAAGTGTTTTATCACAGATATACCATTGGGCCAATACAGTTTATTATCAATTATCCAGTTACATGGAACAACACCTTCTGTTTCCATACCATCTTCAATCCAAACACCACGAGCATAAGACATAATTAGATACTAAATTTTAATTACTAAGGCAAAAATTATAATAGCTTAACAAAATCTTATTTATACTAAACTTATTTTTTCTATAAAAAAACTATTGTTCAAAATACAAGTGTTGCAAAAGTTAAAGTCAATTTTGTTTGTAGCCAAAAATAATAAATTGTCTGGAAAAAAAAAAAGATTATTAATTAATAGTTAGTGGAATTAAAAGCAATAAAACAATAAATTTTAATTAAAAAATTATTAAAGAAACAAAAATGAATATTATTTTATTACCAGTTGACATTGTGAACAAGGGGAACAAATACAAGACCATTATCACCATATGGCATAACAACAACTTTATACAAAATGTCATCTCTTTCAATTAATGTACGTGTAAGATTAAGGGTTCTCTCTCGCAAAAGTGCAATATTGAAATTCTTCGAATCACAAGGTTCAAGAAAGAAACTTTCCATGCTATCTTTTCTATAGGTTTCACAAATATAAATATTGTTGTCATTAATTTCTTTTATATTAGCATATTTGCCACACTTTAGTAAAAACCAGCTATCTTTATGCTTTATACTTATTTTAGTGTACAAAAATTTTTCAGAATACATAGCTCCACAACTTTCTAACTCGTGTGCTCGCTTGATAATTTGACCTACAGGATTTGTGGCATAACGGACAAGCTTCTTTAAAATTTGGAGGTGATTCTTAAAAGCAAATGCAGAAATTGCATCAAGTGGTAGTTGATAACCAGCTACGTCAACTTGGAGATGAATTAGATTATGAACATTGTATGTATTAAATGTATTGCCATAAATATTTTTTGTGGTAGAAACAAAATATACAAGCAAATAATGAGCATATTCCAGCAGAGAATTTCGATCCTCAGCATTTGAACTCAGCATAATTCTAATAGATATTGACAGATAAAGAAAATGTGTGTAGACTTCTTTTTTAACAACCCCTCGAAGTACAACAAGACCACTATATAAAAGGAATTCCCTAAATTCAGTTGCTTTCCATCGCTTTACATATTCTAGAGATCGAGGTTGACGAGCAAATTCACTAGGCATTTCATTATTTAATGATACCATACTTTCTGATACACGATTAATTTGCTGAATTGATAGTTTACACAATCTTGGACCATCAGTCAAAAAATTTAAAATTTGTTTCATAACACTTAAACAAACCAAATGCATATAGTCTAAGACAAACCCAGAAACACAAGGCAAATTATAATCAATTAGGGGAGATTTAGCATTTTGATGTTCATCATTTTCATGTTGATATTTTAACAGACTAAAATCAAGATCATTTCTTGCAGAACAATTGTTTTTTTGAAAAACAACTCGTTCATCATGCGATGCACCTTTAATTATACATCGCTCACACGAATAATACCCAGTATGACTTTTGATACACTTAATGAACGCTCTAGCAGGTGCGTCACATACAAATGCTTTAATAGAGACTGTGTACCTATGGTTTTCATAGAGAAATCCTACAGTGTTCAATAACTGATATTCAAGCAGAAAATCTTTTAAAAAATCATTAATGAAACTAGGCTTCTTGTTACCTGTGTATACTGAAACAATAAAAGGTTTTAGACTGTTAAAACGACAAAGAATTGGCCATAATTCTTTGTCGTTTGAAGACTTAAACAAAGGAACCCCATCTATGCCCACAATTAATGCAATATTTTGAGTATTTTTATTAGTTATAAATGTACTATCAAGTGGCCTTTTAATTCCAGATTCAATTCCTAAATGAAAAAAATCTCCACCACATTTAGAATAAGAAGCTATAGACCTTGGTGTGTTTAACAATGTTCGCGAATCTTTTCAAAGTTCTGGGTGTCCATTTTTGCGAAGAATTGCAAAAAGCTTGTTTAGGGAATCTCGTTTACACATACTTAAAGAACACCATACAGCAAATTCAGCCTGTAGGTTGTCTTCAACATTTTCATCGCTTGGATCTTCGTCTAGTTCAACACTGATAACAGAAGTCTGATTCTTCCATTATGTTAGTAGAATAATAATCATCGCTTAGTGTTTAATTTAATTCACTCGTATCATGTTGATAATCATCAGGAGAAACTTCATGCGGATTACTCCCCTGAACTAAAACAATATCATTTTCAGAAGCTGATGATGTAGTAATAATTTCTATTGCAGATTGTAAAAAAGCATTTCTCTGCCTGAGTTTTCTAACTCTTTCTGTGAAATTCATATTTTTAACTTACTTAAAAACTTTTAACACTTCGTGGTTATATAATTTTTTATGGCGCAATGATTTCTGGACAATTTCGAAGATTTTGGTCTAACCGGGTCAAAATCAAGTTGCTCGACGTCGCGATTTTATATTGACTTTATATCAACGTCGAAATTGCGTCGTGTGCCGGAATTATATGCGAAAATGCTCGTTCATTTCTGTTTCGTTCCCACTTTAGACTAAGATTTTTTTTTTTAATTCGGATTTTCTGAAGTATATGGATTTTGACATTAATCGCCATTTTTCAATAATAAAATGTTTATTTCTTTCTAAAACGACATTTGATTGGGTATTACGAAAATATTTGTGAAAAGCGCGTGGAGATCGGCGATTTACCACTTAAACAATTTAGACATCTGGTTTACTCCTTGTGACTTCTTTTTTAAAAATGAAAATTTAAATATAAATTAACTTTTTTTTTGTTAATATTCATCTTTTAAAAGATGCACTAACTTACTTATAACATAATAGGGGTTATAACTCAAAAATTGTTAATATGTGACATAACATTGGATCCTTCGTGTGTATTTGCTATTTGTTATATAGGCGCCCCAAAAAGCCCTGACGTTTTTGCCACAGAGCACCGTGGAAGTGCATTTAACTAGAAAGTTCACGCCTCCTTACTTAAGTGACCCAAAATATGTCCAAAGCTTGCTTCGATCCTGGATCTCCTGCTTATAAAGTATATTGTCAGTATTGTGAAAAATTTAAGAACCACCAAAAAATAAATCATAAATTATTTTTATTTCTTAAATTTTTATTTAGTCGAATATATTTTTCTGGTAAAAAATTTTTAGGAAATAGACAAAAAATATAAAATAAAAATATTAATGCCAAAAACCTTTAAACAAATAAGAAAATTTATTTAAAGTTTTATAAGTAATTTTTATTAAAAAAAAATTTTAAAAAAGTTAAAAATCAAAGAACAAAAAAAAGTAATTTTTACCTAATACCGCGTTATTCTACCATGAATCTTTATGCACTCTTTCAAACGGTTTGACTTTCAGCCTATTAAAATATGTTTGAGTATATTTCCAAGTATTGTTGGTAAAATATTGTGCAATTTCTCGAAGCTCTTTGGTGCTTTTTTGGCAATTTCTTTATCAATCCAACTCCAAAGATTTTTAATGCAATTAGATCTGGGCTATTTGGTGACAAAGTTAGACGCTTAATATTTTTGCTTTCGAACCATTCAGAGACAATTTTAGCCGTGTGACATGGTGCATTGTCTTGCTGAAAAATTAACGGCACACTTTACTTAGGTGCAATAAATGATGGAAACAAGTTGTTATTTAAAATATTGACGTAATAAATAGAGTTGAGTTGACCATCAAATAATTTAAATATACAGAGACCATAATAAGTCATGCAGCACCATACTTCAACCAACTCGCTACCTTGTTTTGTTTCTTTGAGCGATACAATCGAGATTATATTTTTCTGAAAACTGCCTGCTAATCATAATTCGTTTCTTTCGTTTATCAACCTCGATATTCATCTATCACTAAACATTACTATCCTCCATTTTACTTTAGACCATTCTTTGACACTTTGACAAAATTCTTTTTCGCTTTTTTATATTTTGTTTGGTAAGTCGCGGTTTTGAAACAGCTTTTTTCCATTGCATATTATTAGCTAATAGTTTCCTACGCACAAGTGATGCCGATGCTTGAAGTCAATTTAAAAGCTTCCATTCGCCTCTAAATTCATGCGGCGGCATGGTTCGATTTTTCTGATTAAAAAGCATTCATCATTGGGTGTCTTCAAATATATATTTATTACAAAATAACTCGGAAATTAAACGATCAAAATAACTAACTGTCAAAAAAAATAATAATATTAATAATAAACTGACAGTAAAATTAGATAGATAAGTTTACAAGCATATTGTGAATTTAATGTATTAAGTGAGGGACTTTCCCATTTTATGTGAAGGGCTTCTTTTATCTTTGAGTTGTGTTTGGTTGGGGCTTTATCCAAAATCTTAAAAGAATCACATCTTTAGTGTCGACATCATGTATAAGAGTATATGGCATATTAGTCAGAAAACATCAAATAATACGAATTCTCTTAATACAATTGTATAATTTTGTTGCGAGCTGATAATGCAGGTAACCATAATCCAGCTAAAACTTCTAATACTAAATTAATAATTGTATTAAGAGAATTCGTAATAAATGATGTTTTCTTACTAATATATATATATATATATATATATATATATATATATATATATATATATATATATATATATATATATATATATATATATATATATATGTATATGTATATATATAAATGTATATATATAAATGTATATATATATATATATATATATAATATATATATATATATATATATATATATATATATATATATATATATATATATATATATATATATATATATATACATTTATATATATACATTTATATATATACATACATATATATATATATATATATATATATATATATATATATATATATATATATATATATATATATATATATATATATATATATATATATATATATATATATATATATATACATATTATATACAAGGACAAAGCCCTAGTGTTAAACAAATATACTACAATGAAGCTACAAACGAGCAGTTGTATGTTAACGAAGACTTTAGCGATTTTACATTAGATTTACGAAGAAAGCTTTTCAAAGAATCCAAAGAATAGAAAGCAAAGGCTAAATTTGCTAAAGTAGTTTACAATAAACTAAATACACATGAGCTATTATAAAATAATTTTTTT